GTTCTTTGACCACAAACGTATTAGCGTTTATGCCCTTAGGAATAAATGTAACGATGTTCTTTAAGACATTTTGACTATTAATAAAGATTTGTTTATTTCATATATCTATGTATTGTCATTGTTATGTTCGTATTAATTGAATTTATGATAAGCAAACTGAAAGTCTGAGGCAGCCATTCTAAATCTTTAGGTCATGCATGTAATGAGAAGAACATGTGAAAGACAAGAATCTAAATATGATAGTCTAAATCATATGATCCACAATCGAGGGAATAAAGTTGGGCGCTTTATTCATGTTAAAATTGTTATGTTGTCTACTTCCTAACGGATACGGCTTGTCTTAGTTGTCGGAGGTGGGATTCCATGGGTAGAGACATTAATATAGTTTCTAATGATGAAATCTATATTGAGTCGGACCAAAGTTGAATTGTTTTAATTAATAATTATATTTGAATAAAACAATTCACTTTTGACGAATTATATGTTGTCATCTTAATCCTGAGATGGATGATGAACTCGTATGCTTGACTTGTATTCTTTGATGTACCAAATGGAGACATCCTGATATTATTTAAAGGTACACTTACCGGTACATTATGGGTATGACTCGTGTATGCGTAGATTCGTTAATCATAGATAGTGGAATCAATAGCTCCTACAAAGAGTCAATGATATCCTCTTATGCATTATCTGTGGATTGAAAAATACGAACGCTCGGCCATTAGACTACTATGTGTTATCTAATGGTTTACTATTTGTAATGGTACGAATAGTGTTTTTCTGATGGTGTGATAATGGAACATAAGATAAATATAATCGGAAAGGTAAAACAGAACTTGACCTCAAGTCAATTGTGGATATCCTATAGGGATGATACACTAATATATTGAGTCATGGACGAGAGCTTGTAAATACGTTATATAAATCGAGAGTGCAACTCTAGGCTTTTAGTGGAGTAGCACTAGAGTTTTATAATTATGAGATAGACTTGTTGGTTTACAAGTAGTGTTGTGATTATAGGTGCTTAATTTATATATGTCCATCAAGTCCCTTTGCTAGCTCACATAATTTCCTGTAACAATACGGTGTATTTCTTACATATTGATAACTTGTGTTATTTCCGTAAAAGATGTTCAAAGTTAATATGAGATTTATTAATTCATGAGTGATTTATTGGGTGAATTAATTGATAAATTAATTCTAGATAAATTGGTTGAATTATTGTTTTAAGAGTTGTTTAATATGAGAAGACTATTATATGACTATTTTGATTAGGCAACTTCTCTATTGGGTTGCTTGAATCAAAATTGAGGCTCTATGCAAGTTTTCCGTGTTGGAAAACTAAGAAAACAAGTTTCACTAGTGCAGACAAGTCGACCGGTCGGGTAGACCGATTCATGAAGATAGGTCGACCGGTCGGGTAGACCGGCTCATGAAGACAGGCCGACAAGTGAGTTATAACGTCTTTGTCACCGGTCGACCGGTTGTAACGTGTAGCGCATGCTGATGTGGCAAAATTGGCTATGTAAGCGAGATAAACTTTGAAAAACCTAATTGTTACGGAAATATGACTTCCTAAACACTATAAATAGCCTATTAAGTCACATTATTCATTTGATCACTTAAGAGACTTTTTAGAGGCTATTGACAAAAGATTCCTGAGAGGAAAAATTATTTAATTCTCAAGAACGATTTTTCCTTTGGCTCTCTTATGGTTGGAAGGAGTTCAAGAATACCAAGAGGAGATTGAACGACGTGTGCCCACCCGCACTCCGATCGTGGAAACGAGAATAGCAAAGAAGACCAGTTGGTTGAGGCTCTTCTGGTTGCTGTTTGGAACGCTTTGATCTGTCATACGTGCAGTTTCCTAAATCTCAAAAGGTGTGATTTAGATTTTTAGTATTTATATTATATAGCATCATGAACATGTTCTTGATTGGCTTTGACATTGATTAAATTTTTTTAAATTCCGTTGCGCACTCGATGCCGTATTATTCCAACAAAACGTTTCTCGCTCCAAGCTTGTTTAGAATACTTGAATCTTTCTTGTCAATTCTTTGAATCTACGAAGACATGTGTGTGGGCACACTTGAAACAAAACAAGATTAGCAAATAAACACTCAAGTTTTCCACGAACACTAACACATGCACGACATGGAATTTTGGGAGAAAATTTTCTTTCCTCACTCTATAAAATTCGGCCACTAAGCTAGGGAGAGCAAAAATTGTGTTCTTCAATTTTCTACAATACCCTATTTATAGAGTAATAGTCAAACTTTTAGAATAAGTCTAAACTTTATATCCAAGATAAAGCTTAATAATTATCTCACACTTCTAATTGATTTTGAAAACAAAATTTCCTCTCCTTTATCTTATATGGCCGGCCAACACAGGGAGATTCCTCCCTGTGGTAGGCGCAATCTGCATGTAGGGGAAAAGGCAAAATTTTGTTTTTATCCTGCAATCCAATTTTGACTCAAATTCAAATTCTAATTTAAGTCAAATTTAATTTAATTTCAATTTCAATTGGACAACTTATCAAATAAGTCAGTTAGATAACTTAGAGAGCAAACAACGGAAACTCAGAATGATTCACACAGTGCTGGACGTGTACACCATGTGGACATCTCCACATGTGTGTTTTAAAATTCAAATTTAAATAATAACATTACTTAGTTTATAATTAATTCTCAATTAATCATCTTTGAGCGTTTTATTTAGAATTTCATAATTCTAAAATTCGCATTTTGCTTTTAGTGTACGACGCAGAGACTCATGGACCTATAATTTTAAGCTCCAATAAAATTTAGTAATTAATTAAAATTCTTTATTTAATTAATTGTATTAATTCTAAAAGTTACTCCACTAAACTTGGAATTGCACTCTCGTAATTATAGATATAAATTATTTCTAAATTGTGAAGTATCCATTTGATATAGTCATTACATATAGATCAATCATCCATAAATAATTCATAATTAGAGCTAGGTGAAATCCGTTAACCTCTCTAATTACATCTTTATCATTGAGTACTATTGATTCTCTAATGGACAGTGATTCATAAAGTAAATTCATGAATCAAAGCTCATACTAGTTCAAGTACCGAATCAACCCTTAAGTGAATTGTTTATCTACTTCTATCTCTAGAAATAATGGATTCCATCTCATACATTAACATTCTCAGCTATCCACTTCATCATGTCTTCAAGATAAAAGGAATAGGATTTAGCAATCTCAAAATCCGTACTGAGTAAGTCAAAAGACACAAATCCACAAATAGGAGTATGTTAATAACTCAAAATTAAGATCATTCTATATATGATCATCGACAGACTCAATTAGAATTTCTATACTTAACGGAAATTATCATAAATTCATATGGTGTATGTGTCCCAGTTCCACACAATCTCATTATGCGTAATACACTCATTTAATATTTCGTTATATTAACAGTACGGATAACATCATTCCATTCTAAATGGGAATGACATGTATTAGTAATATTTTAATTAAAGATTCTGAACTTTAATTAAATTCTACGAACATCATTTTGATTATTATCCTTAAATATTATCCTCTCACATATAACACTTATATACAATATTTAAGGTCACATAAATAATCATGAAATTTTCAATGATATTTATAAAATATTCATTTATATATGCACATAAAATAATGAATAAACTTTTTTATTAAATAAATAATGAATATCTTATTACATCTCATGATTTCATTCTTAACAATTTTTAAGGCCTCTTATATCATTACCTTAAAATACCAAAAAGCGAACAAATAATTAACTCAGCTGAAAACAGAAAATCCATAAAAATTCTAATTCAATTTTAACAATAACATCCCCAAGGTGACTAGGAGCCTTAGGTAAAATTTTAAATCGGCCATTTAAATAATTACAGTTGTATATTTATTCATAAGCCTTTAAATAGAAAACCCAATTGTCAAATCGTTTTTTCTTTATGGAATATGGGACTCCGTTGCTTTTGTCTCCTAAACTTTTCGTCTTTTGACAACTTGTCAGTTGAACTTCTGATTTTGAAAATTCACTCATTCAACTTGCTAAATTGTTGCATTATGTCTTATTTTATTGATTTTGCTCTAAATTTTGATCAGATTTGTGGGCTTTAAAGTTGAAGAATTGAGAAATTTATATTAGGAATTAGGTTTTTGAAACTTTTGGTCATACGTGCTTTCTTTATTACTAATTGAAAACAATCATCAATAAAATGGACCACATAACAACAGTTTAGTAAGTTTTTTGTTAAATTTCTCATATCATATTCATGACTTATAACACATTTTATCATTAAAAATGTAAGTGACAAAAACCTTAACACGATAAGAATTCTTATTAAGAATGAACGACTTTGAATATTTAAGATAATAGCTTGATATATAATAATAATAATAATAATAATAATAATAATTTTTGTATAAAGTGCGATTAAGGGCAGAGTTAAAGAAAATTATTCAACTATAAGACTAAAAATTAAGTGCATATGATCAGTAGTTATGGCCGAATTAAGTGACTTTTTTTTTTCTTCTTCTTGTTTTTCATCCGAACTAATATTAAAAACAGGATTATAAGATGTTTAAAATGAAATATAAAAAAATGCCACCAAAGATTTACAAAGATAAAATAGTCAATTGTTAAAAGAAAAAAATGAATAAGAAACCTATAATCAATATGTTCAATACTTTGAGGTGTAAAGATAATTAGTTAAGGGTTTCTAACAAAACAATCTTGAGGTGTAAAGATCATTAGTTGCTGATCCTAATAATAAGAGGCCTTAACTTAAGGAGGGCCTTACCCTTGAGCCGGAATTGATTTGAACAAAACCAATTTTAGAATTCTTTATTTTATTTTATTTTTTCGGTTTATTGAAGAGAAAACAAGAAACAAATCTACTCTCTCTCCTTCAACGAAAAAAAAAAAAAAAAAGAGAAAAAATCAAGGGTAGGGGAAGAAATTAATTAACTGCATGGCGAAATTGCAATCCACAATGTTCTTCACATTGGCTGCAATCTTGGGTCACTTCATTGTAGGACAGGCAAGTGCATTCACTCACATTGTTGGAGGAAGCCATGGCTGGCGTGTGCCCGAGAACCAAACCTACTTTCAAGAATGGGCCAAACCAAGAACTTTCGGCGTCGGTGACCGACTTGGTAAGTACTGTAAATGTCACGTCCTAACAACGCTATGTATTATTATTGGTGATTATTACGATTAACTATTATTTACATTTTTTTTATTGAAACGTCATTTTTATCACGATGTTTTCAACATTCAAAATATCCTCACATTATAGTATTTGTTTGTTTGAAACAATTCTATTAATCATCACCAAATATTGAACATTGTCTAGTATTTTCCCTTTTGTTAAGGCTTAAATTTCTATCAAGCATATATTCTTTAAATTCATATCATTGCAATTTTTTATTCCCCTAATAGAAAAAGTTTCAGTTTTTCCATCCAGACCTTGTGGCAACAATGTGGTCATGGTAAGCAAGGAAGATTTTGAAGCGTGCACTCAAGACAAAGTGTTTAACATGTACTACGAGGGACCAACAATTCTAAACCTCACACAAGTTGGGGACTACTACTTCTACAGTGGCGTTGGGAAGCATTGTGAGGCTGGTCAAAAGCTTCACATCACCGTTGGTGACAAAGAGGGCTTTTCCGGCGATCACTTGCCGTTTAAGTCGTTTTCCACCGAAGATGATGCCACCACAGCCGCCACCTCTCCCGTCCCATCTCAGCTTCCAAATGCTAAGCATTCCTCAGCCACCACCATTCAGGATGTTGGTGTGGTTTCCGCTAGTTTATTGTGCTTCTTGCTTTCATTGTTGATATAAAACTCAATTAATTGTACCTAATATTCTAGGGGGCACTTGTATTGTATTGTAACGTGTTGCTATAACGTGCTAAATGATGTAAATGTACCAAGGGCTGTATCTATATATATATATATATATATTATTCTGGAGGGGGGAGATGCAGGTAATTGAAGACACAACTGATCTTTTACACATTGTGATATTACACAATATTGAGGATATAGCAGATTATCATTGACTTGTAGAAGCTAGATGTCTAAGCCATCTAGAAATGACATGGTTTTATTCGCAAAATTTGTTCTTTCTTAGCAGAATATGCTACTTTGTCTAGTGCAGAAGTCACATTGCTCCAAATAGCTTGCCAGGAAAAAGGACGATTAAGCCAATTCTGGCCCGGAGAGGCTTGAGCCCCCTCAATAAGAAAGAAAGAAAAAACCTACAAATACATATTTGCACTAAATTTAGGGAGAAAGAGGAAAATAGGCCAAGACTTGAGATGAATTAAAATTAATAAGCCAATAGTTTACATAAGTTAATAAATATGCCAAATTACTATTTTCGTCCATAACTTGTCTGGTTATGAACCATAACTTGACAAGTTATTCACGGTTTTTGTCCATAACTTGTCTGGTTATGAACCATAACTTGACAAGTTTGTCCATAACTTATCTGGCTATGAACCATAACTTGACAAGTTATGGCCTATTAATTTCTATAACTAAAAATTGGCTTATATACTTTCTTAAGCTTTCATATTGACTTATTTTCTACTATTTCTGCTAAATTTATACATAGCCTCCACAATAAGGCCCAACTAAAATCCGAAAGCTCTTAGCAATACACTAGTTGAACTCCATGTGTTATGCAGTGGAGAATAATCCATCTGTTAAGTTTTAATTATTGTGTTATTATTAAAATTGTATAACATATGAATATAAAATCTCAACAAGAAATCAAAATAAAAAAAATAAAGTTTTTGAAGGAGAAGATAAAAAAAAATGGGTCAAAAAAGGATTAAAATGAAGAAATAAATAAGTGTAGGACACTATGGGAAAGAAATATATGAGTAGGATAACATCTAAAAATAAATAAATAGTTTGGGTAAAGAAAAAAAGTTAAAAAGAAGGGCAAGAATGAAAAATATAAAATTTAGGGAAAAAATAAAAGGAAAAAGAGAAGATGTAAGAGAAACAAAAAAAAAAACCAAAACCATAAAAGAAAAAAACAAAAGGAAAAATGCTCGTTTCAACCGAAACAAGCAACTTGGTCGAACGAAACACACTAGATTATAATAAAACTTCCTTATCACATACCGGTTTTCATCAATAAATTATAATAAAACTCAGAAAAGGATAACACATGCACTAGATTCTAATTCTAGGAAGTTGAAAAGGTGCACCAATAATCGAGTACGGTATGGCTCTTCAGCAACTCCTCTACGGTTGAGAGAAGACTCCAAACGACATTATAGACTGAAATCATAACAAAAATATAACATATTACCTACAAAAAGTGTTGTGTTTGAATTAGGCTTAAATTTTATACAAAAGTGTATTTTGAATCAACCCTCAAGATGCGGTATTCGTCATTCAACCCTACCTCAGAGTGAGTCGGCCTTTGGACCACTTCAGGTAAGTAGTACGGCCACCTTCCACACATATTTACATTGGGCCCGCCAGCCCAATTTGAAAGTTCCAGAAGTTGACTCCCACAATGCAAAAGTTCCAGAAGTCCAAGATGGGCCAATGCAACAAAATCAAGTAGTATGGTGGTATTCCTCATTCAACCCTACCTCAAACTGAGTCGGCCTTTGGACCACTAAAGGTAGCAGTACAGCCACCTTACAGACGTATTTACATTGGGTCCAACAGCCCAATTCAAAAGTACCAGAAGTTGACTTCAAGCATGGTCCAAGTCCAAGAACAAAACCAAGTAGTATGGGCCGAACAAAACGCCCTTTTTCCCCTTCCAGATATACAAATAGAGAAGGCAAATTTTTAAAAAAAATAATAATAATAAAAAGAATACAAAAGAAAAGAAAACGTTGCCACATTCATTTCGAGTTAAGAATTTAAGTTAAAAAATAAATTCATGTGAAAAAAATACTGTAATAAAAAAAATTAAATAAAAAATTTTATGAAAAAAGACAATATAGAAAAAATATTATAATAAAAACTTGAGTTATAATTTAAATTAGTGAAACGAACAAAAAAGTACGTAGGGGAGAGAAATGGAACAATAATCTCACAAGAAGTTCGTGGTGATGAGTGAGAGAGTGACTGTGGGCTCCCATTAATATCTCCCATCACAATTCATGAGATTTCAATTGTCTTCATGTTGGTGTCTTCTGTATCCCAAAAGCCCCCACAACAAAATCTCACTCCTCCCCCCCTATTATCTGCCTTTTGCTGTCGGGTGGTTGCTCATATTGACACCTTCATAGGGCCCCACCTGCCTTATTTCCCACCCACACTAGCACGAACACGCATCCATTTAGCCTGAGAGTTTTTATTTCTGCATTTACTGCAAAACCATTTCTACGTATCCCGTTTCCTTATTGCATTTATTTCACTCTTTTTTTTTTTTTTTCCCCCATACGATCTATAGATTTTTCTATTGCTCAAAAACTAATAAAAAACACAAATTTTTTTTTTTTGGTCTAAAAATTCAACTATATAGGCTAAACTTAAATATTTGACTAAATAATCAAAGATAGCACTCAACCATTTGTGCTTTTGTGATATGGTAGTGTACGGAAAGTATAATAAAGGGTGTTTGTATTTTGCGGACCATTCGGCCATTATATTTAAGGTGCGTTTGGTTACAATGGAGAAATAGTAATGAGAATGAGAATAGTAATGAGAATGGAATGAAAAAGAAAGTTAATTTATTTATTTGGTTGTAATTTTAAATATTCTCTAGAATGAAACATTAATATTTTCATGTTGACAAACTTACTCTTATGCTATATATAATACTAATATCTTATCTATCAATATAATATATAAAATATAATATAATATAATAAAAGTATTATTATATAATATATAATATATTATAATATTTTTTATTATATATTATATTATATTATATTATAATATATAACTACTATATAATATATTTTAATTATATTATAATATTAAAGTGTAATTATGAAAAAAAATAAGAAAAGAACTTAGAATGACCATTCCTCTCATATGAGGAAGGAATGATGATTCACTCAAAATGGGTGAATGACCATTCAATTCTTTTAAATCTAATCAAACATCAAACTATAATTTAATTTCATTCTATTCCATTCATTTCCACCCAACCAAACACACTCTTAGTAATGAAGCCCATAACACTTGTTTTCCTTTTGCTCTTTTTTCTTCTCTCCTTTTTTTTATTTATTTTTTAATTGAAGCCCATAACGCTTGGTTGGAGCAAGAATTTGTCCTCCGACACAAAATGGTTTGATCAATGGAAACATGGGAGTTTTTAATTTTTGGTGCCAAAAATTCTATGCCAACCCGACTAACAGCGCACCATACTTTGAGATTTCAGTGAAGTGCATGGACCAAAGTAATGGCCATTGACTGTATTTCTTAGTTCCATCTTCAAATGTCCTATTAAAAAAAAATTTAAAAAAAGAAGGAAACGAATAATACTTCTCTCTTTTTATGTGAACTGGTCAAAAGGAGAGTTGGTTTGTGGTTGCAGGTATAATCTAGTAATAATTCCGCACCTGATTTTATTTTGAAATGTTGAGTTTAAATCCCTCACTTCAAATTCAAAAAATAATAATAAATAAATAAGAAAGCTTTGGTTATAATACCGTATATATTTATCATTTAGGTCATGTTCGTTTTACAGATTTAAATTTTCAATTCAAATTGAGATGTGATATTTTTTAGAGCTTTTAAGTGTAGTAGAAAAAGTTATATATGACATTTTTTGATAGTTTTTTAACTGTAGAAACTTAAAATTAAAAACTCGAATCGATAAAATAAACAAGATCACAGTGAAAATGATACCTTTTACATCACGTTTTCTCATAATGTACCAACTTAAGGATACAAAATTAAAATAGTGGGTTAAGGGTGTAATTTATTGATTTTCTGTTGACTATTGTTTTGGATAATAAATTTTTTCTTGACTATTTTGGGTGGTAAGAACGAAGTCTCTGATATGGGCCACATAGCCCGTCATTTGGTGGGCTGTTGGTGACGTGAATGCCCAAAATGAAGAAACATGACTCTTACCCACACCAGATGGGCCACATCAGAAAAACTAGAAGATTAATGAAGTGGGACCGGCCAATCACAATCATGGTGCAGATACAGTAGTTTCTGAGCTGGCATGTGGAGAGGGGACCATGGGCCCCAAAGGGGCCGAAAAGAAGAGGAAAAAAAAAAAGGCCCAGTTGCACACTTGCACTGCTCGAGGCAATAGAGAACCGTTAGCCTGACATGACGTGTACGGCCAGGATTAATTATGAGGAGCTGGAGGATTATCAAAGGAGATCTTTTGGATTGTTTTGTTCCTTGGGGGTGAATCTTTGGCAAGTTTTGGAATTTTGTGTGTAGTAAAGATTTATTTATACCTGTCCCAAGGATATTGATCTCTTGGCTTTGTGGCTTGTGGGGCTATTCTTTAACCGTGACCCTTCTTCTCAATTACTTCAAGGCCAACCAGCTAGTTTGGCCAGCCTTAATAAAGTTCATGGGACAAATCGCCCTAAGAAAACACCAAGTCCCCAGTTTTGAGGTGCAGAAAATATCAGTGAACGCAAAAAAAAAAAAAAAAAAAAAAAAAAAAAAAAAAAAAAAAGGGCAAAAAATAAAAAAAAAAAAAAAAAAAAAAAAAAAAAAAAAGAAAGAGGTCAAAATCTGAAATGTGCTGCAACATGGGTTTAGAGTCGCCATTTTTCAGTTCTTTGTCCATGATGGGATTCAGCATTTTGGAATCACCTGGGTTTTATGCTACAATGATTGAGTAAAAATGTTCATGTCATGTGCACGCCATGGTCACGACAATTCGTACTAGTAATTTATTATGCGAGTATTACACAGTAAAACAAGGAGACTTGTTGCCGAAGAAAATTCTCACATAAATCTTGTTTTCAAGTGTTGTATTTTAGATTCGGTCCGGTTTGAACCGAATTACCCTTAAACTCATTAGCTGAAAGAACCCTAATCATAAAATCAGTTGGTCTTATTAGCAAATGAAACTTTCGATTTGCAGGGTGTTCGGGTCTGACCGGCTCGGAACATTATTGACGAGTTCAGGTGCAACACGAACTCCCCTGCGACATCTTATACGTGTTGGCAATTGTGTTGTGAAACAATAATACTATAGCAAAAGTTCTTTATTATTATTATTTTGAAAGATGGGTAGGGCTAAAATCTAGTGAGCATGCACATGAATGTGGGTGGGGACCCAAGATTTAAATTCAAGAGGCATAGATATTGAATTGCTGTCCCTATTCAATCAATTGGGTTAAGGAGTTCTGAAGTATCCCAGTGATAGGCTTTTGCAACAGAGTAATGCAGAAAATTTCTCATCGTTCCCTTTTTAATTTGTCTGCATCTTATGATATACACATCTATCAGAAAGTGACATATCTACTCTACCTTTTTTTTTTTTTTTTTTTTTTTTTTGGGAACAAATTATATATATACACCCTTCATCAAGCACTCACAAGGGTCTATGTACATAGGGCTAAAAAAACCCGTAACTCTTTGAGAATAATATGATATATGCGTATAAGTATTTATATTATTGAAATGTATAAAGAGTAACAAAACAAAGAAAAAGACATGCTGGTTTACTCAGGGCATGTTTGTCATATTAGGCATGAAGGCTGGTTGTCTTCAGGCCGAATAACTGCAAAGCCAAAGCATATTAATTAAGTTCTTGGCTCTTGTATGAGGTGTTTATAAGCTAATGCTGTTTGGATTTTGTGTATGGACGTTTTGTCTATGCCAGATATTGTTTTCTTACTTCTGCAGAGGTTCAGGTTTATGCACAAAATGAGCCAAACTCTGGTGGCAAGATTTTTTTTTTCCCCCCTCCTTTCCCAAACTCATCTCTTGGACCACTTAATGGGTTGTTAGTAAAGAGTCATTAGACTTGCCTATTAATACCCTCTTATACCCCAACCATTGATTTTAAGTAGGGCTGGTAATCCGGGTAGCAACACGATGACACGACTTGAAACTTACACGAAATTAGCGGTTTTGAGTTTACTATAAATGAGTTTTGGTCATAATCGAGTTGACACGATTAATAAATAGGTTGGGTTAAGATTGACCTCCTAACACGAAGTTACATGAATTGATATGATTAACTATATGTGTCATCTGCAATCTAATGATATGTGATATAACATGAAAGTTTATATAACATATTAAATACAAATAATGTGAATTTTAATATTTGTAGGTAAAATTTATTTTTTTTTAAGGAAAAGATAAATTGACCAATATACATGTTAAATCTATCTTGATTGTGTTAAATAAGTCATGATTATATTAGTTATTTATTCAATATATTAATTTAAATATATTATACGGGTTGACACGATTAATAAATTGGTCGTATTTAGGTTGACATTTTTGACACGTTTAATAAACAAATCGTGTTTTAGTTGATATTTTCTGACACGATTAAAAAATTAATTAATATGAACACGACTCATTAACACAAATTGCCACCCCTAATTTTAAGCATGGAGTTTAAAAGAGAATAAAGTAGAGTGTTGAAATTGTACAAGAAAATGGGGTCATAGGAAAAAGTTTGGTTTGTAACTGTCAAAACTTAAAAGCGGTTAAGTTTTTCATTGTGTTTGCCCAAATTAGACTTATTTTAATCGCACAAAAAATGTGGTTTCATGCCTAGTCTAGCAAAAAAAAAATCCACAGTGATATCCTCACAGTCGACTTCAAAAATTTGCATCATCAAAAGAAATCACTCAAAATGATTTTTTTTGTTTTAAAAAAAAAAAAAGAATCAAGAAATGATTTTAATCATGGAAATATAAGCTTGTCACTTTCATTTGGCAGGTTGTAGCAAAAATCATATGATTACTTTTTGTAAATACCACAAAACAAAAGTTATTCTCTTAAATGATGGTGTAAAAGGCTAATCAAGTGGATCTTAGCTCATAAATGACAAGGGAATTCACCTACGCCCAAGAAAGTTTGTCATTCTAAACTCTAAAATTGGCATCATTTTCTTTTTATCTTTTTTTCCATTGTGGGAAAAGGGCATGGTTGCCTAAAAAGTTTGTGCTACATTATTGAGGTCATTGTTCCATGTGTTCAAACATAAAGAGAAGAGAGACAACTAAGCTTTCAACCCAAGCAAAGTGTGTGACTCGTAACGTCTAAAAGTTTCAGAGTGAGTGATGATATGATATAATATGTCAAGGCGTGGGCCAATGTTCCATGCTACTTAGATATACAAGCCATATTAATTGAGACAAACGAGTTGTAGGTGTAGCAATACATACTATTATTGCTTTGAAACAAACGGAAATAAGTGGATTTTAGCCTTGTTTGTGCAGACAACAGAACCTTATCAACTTTTCAAGGAGGCAAAAGTTATAATGACACCATCATACACAAATTCAAATCAAGTTTATTTCTCACATGAGACCCTCCCAATTCGATTGAAATTTTAACTTTGCCTGCATTTTTAAATTTTTGGTCTTTTAATAGTATAAATAAAATAACGAAATTAACCTTCGGTTTATGTATTCAGAACCATTATCGTTTTACGTGTATTTTTTGTGAGAGAAAATATTGTAAAGAACCATGAATTATGATTCAGAATCATGGACGAATATAGGAAACAAATGTCCCTAAGTCACTACAACACGGGAACCTTCTTCATGAATTACATTTCTAACAACATGTGAGGTTTTATCCACGCGCTATAAACATTTTTTAAGTACAATACTTCCACCAGATCTCATCTCGTGCCTATGTAAGTTTGCAGTAAATTTCGTCAAGAACTCAAATTTTCCGGCATGGTTATATCTAAACCACATGGCGACTTACTTGCAAGTAGTTTGGTAGACACTAGATGAGACGTGTTCGAGACAATTTTTAAACTGTCGGTTCAATATATATTTTTTTGTCTCGACGCGTTTTGTTTCTAAAATAAGTAATTACGACTCAATGCGGACGTTCTCTACAAAGGTTTAGTTGTATAACTATGTTACTAGTTCTGTCAAATTCATTCATCAAAAATCATTAATTATTAAGGTTTTGTTCATTTCACTGGAGTTTTGTTACAGTAAAAAACTCTCAGTCACATCTAGTTTTTTTATTACAATAAAAAAATTATCACATAAAGTCACATCTCAACTCGAATTAAAAACTCGAATCAACGGATTAAACGGGCCCTTAACTTTTCAAACTCAAATTATATTAAATTTTTTTCCCATTTCTCAAAACAGCTTGTGGATTGCCATTAAAATAATAATAATAATAATAATAATAATAATAATAATAATAATAAAGAAAATAAAAATATATTTTTGGTATAACTTGGATGGAGAAGAGGTAGAATACAATAGTTCGTGGAGAGACAGAACAATCAAATTTGGAAACTTATCCGTGAATGGAAATATCTGATTGCCTCCCACTAGCAGTAACCAGAAGCAGGTATGGGGTATCCTACGTAACGGCCATAACCGCATAATCCTGGTTTCCCACATCCTAATCCTCCATCAAATTTTCGCCACTTGTTGTATTACTGACATTGTCAGTCTCACTTTTTTTCCTCCTTTCTCTTTTTCCGGTTTGATATATATTTTATTATAAGATGTTTGGTATAAGTATTTCGTGTCATAATTTAAATAATAATTTATAGTTTAATAAAATATTTTTTCTTATAAAAAATACACATAAATTAAGAATAATTATGAATTATGATTCTGAAACGTCTACTTACTTTTTGCCTCACAATTTCCTTCTCTCAACAATTTTCTCCACAAATTCTCATTTCCAGTTTAACGTATGATTAGTGAATTTATTTTTAAACTCATACATTATTGACTGTTAATTCTTTTTATATTTGTTTTAGGAAATTTGTTATTTCTTAATTTTTCTAAATTAGAATGGATCTCTAAAAATTCCACTGAACAGTGAGCACGCACACTAAAAAGCGCATCAGAACAGCACGTGTACGTTCATCGTAGGTGTAAGTGTACGAACATTGAAATATATATTTTTTGGACCGACTTAAATAAATAAATAAATACATAAATATCCGAATATTTTCTTTTCCTCTCCTCTTTAACATTTCACGAGGGGCTGAGTCACGTGAGTGGGCACGGGCCTTTTATAAATAATTTTAAGGAAATAAAATTAACATTTTGACATTAGAACACAAAAAAGGAGCAAAAGAACCATCCATACAAATTACATTACATTTACCAAACTCGTCCATCACCGTTGCTGTGACGGAGATTTACTTATACTAAATATCGATATATATAGTTAATAACAAATAAACAATACAAACAAAATTGAAAAAAAACCAACACAAAATACAAAAAGACGGAAAAAAAAAACACGAATCCGATATCTCGGTTCTATCTCGCCGATGAAAAGTTTGCCAAAAATCGGGAGAGTTATGAAGAAGAAGAAGAAGAAGAAGAGACTGGAAAATGTGTTTCAAAGAGCGACGAGAGGATCTGAGCTGAATATATCGCCAATATCTTGGAAATAATCGTCCGGTTGGAAAGTTCTCGACCCGAACCCGAAATCCCAACTCGGATCTGCGGCGAAAATGTCGTTCAAATCTCCCTCCAATGCGCCCGTCTTGTCGAAGAAATCGGGAATCGAGCTCTGGAAGTCAAAAATATCGTCGGGAATGAACGTCTCGAAGCTCGAATGCTCCGACGAGAACTCCGAGAAGTTCTCCGACACGCACGACTCGTCTCGGAGGTCGCCGATGTCTCGGATGATTAATCCTTTCGAATCGGCCTCCTCGTTCGACGGCGATGGGCACCGGAGGACGGAGGTCGGAGAGCAGAGGATGAGATTGTTGTTGTCGCCGTTGTTGTTGTGAGACTCCTCGCCGGAGTAGTAGCCGCAGCTCATCGCGGCCTGTTTGGCCTCTGGCGCAGGAGGAGTGGCGAAGTTGGTCAGCGCGTCGGGTCCACGCAGCTGAATCGCCGCGTTGTCGTAGACCATGGCGGCTTCCTCCGCCGTATCGTATGTTCCAAGCCAGAGCCGCACGCGCCGGAGAGGATCTCTGATCTCCGCCGCCCATTTCCCCCACGGACGCTGCCTCACGCCGCGGAACTTCTTCCCCGCCGGCGTCTTCATCACGCTCCGATGACCAGCCGCCGCCGCCGGAATCATCCTCGCCTTCCGTCCGGACGACGTGGACCTCCTCTTCTTCCTCGTCGACCGGCAAACGACGTTGCTTTCTCTGGAACACGACTCGATCGTAATCTCGTTGACGAACCTCTTCACCCGATGGCGAGAGTAGCAAAACTCTCCTTCTTCATCGCTGGAGGAGTCCGTGGCGTCGCCGTCGGTGACGGAAATCCTCACAATCCTCGGCCGCGCCGCCATTTCCGGCGAAGCGGTGGATTTAGAGAACTTCTCGGTGAGCTTTGTGTGGTTGCAGTGTTCGGTATACTTCACCACTTGACCACTTCGATTCATTTTTTTTTCTTTACTTCTTTTTCGGCTTATCAGATTCTGGGTACTGGTATTTTGTGCATTTGAAAGCGAAGTTTGCGAAGAGGGAATGAAATAGAAGAAGAAAAAGATGGGAAAAGATTCCTTTGAGACTAGACACGAGGAGAGAATAAAGAAGGAGGAGAAGATAAGAGAAAAGAAAGCTGAAAAAAACAGGGACACGTTAAAGAGAAGCTACTTGCTTCTCCCTCTAAAAAGCCCTTAAAACGAAGAGAAAATCTCTCTCTCTTTGTCGACCACCGATGGAGATTTAATTAACAAAAAGAGTGCTCTTCAGAAAGTGTTATTAAAGGACGAGAAATTTCACGGAAAGACACCCAGAAAGAGGGAGAGAAAAAGAAAAGGAAGAAAAGAGTGTGAGCGTGACGAGAGAAAAATCATAAAACTGAGGAGACATTAAACCCCACAATCAAAGCCTCTTTTTTTTTTTTCTTCTTCTGTAGAGAGAGAAATAGAGAAAGAGAGAGAAACCACGGTACGGAAAAAACAGAGATTATGCGTGAATATATATATATATTTATACTGAGTCAGAGGGAAAAAAAAAAGAGTCAAATTTTCTGGGAAAGCTTTCAGAGGTGGGGGTGGGGGAGGGTAGGAACTGAGGGACAAAGATGAGAACTGTGAAGTGGCAGTGGTAGCTTTACGGAAAGGAAACAGATGGAATAAATGTTGTTGTTCCGAATCACAAAGGCAAAAATGCCTCACTCACTCACTCACTCACTCACTTCAACTTTTTCTAATGCCAATCTTGGACAAACACCCCAGGAGCGAATATTTTCTCTCAGATTCCCGGAAAATCTCGGAAGGGAAATGAAAAAAAAAGGAAGCGAGAGAGAAAGTGCTGGATATAATATTACACGGAGAAGAAGCAGAAGCGGAAGAAGAAGAAGCATACGGTTGGGTGGGTCGCTGCAGAAACCCAGCTACTTTATAGGATCCACCAAACAGCCGCAATTGGTAAACCTGGTTTGAATGCATATTTAATTATTAATTTTTCTAAACTTTTTTTTTTTCTTTTTTTGGCTTTAAGTCTTTCTTTTGTTTTTATTCGATTTTAATCAGTTACACAACAAAATATTACAAAAGAGTTACGGGTCCTACCGGAGTGAGTCATTAAGTCGGATGATGAAAGATTCCGACGAGTCCACTGGATATTTTACGTGCCGCCGCATAAATGGTTCATGTGCGATCCTTACACGTGGCGGAAAACAGTACAGTGATGGGGATCCAACGGTGAGGGAAAGGTCAGTGGGAGGCACCGGAGATGACTCAGCAAAAGAATTTTATATTCTCGGAATTTGGGATGGGATTCAGGTCACGTGAGGTAGACACATGGGGTTACAGTCGCGAGTCCTCCTTTGACCGAAAAAAAAATAAAATAAATAAAAAAGAAGGAAAAAATATTTTATTTTATTTAATTATCACTCTCTGGGGGACTTTTTGTTTAATTATCTTAAAGCCCATTGAATGCCTCACTAATTACACGTTAACCTTTGAGTTGTGGTTTTTTTAACTTTTAGGGTGATTTTGGTAATTACAGGTGGAGTTGACGACCATTTGAGGCCGTTATGCGTCTGACGGATTTTTAACCATTTTGAGTTTTACCTCTTATCATTTACAGCTAAGTGTAACGTGGCAGGCAACCTCGAATTTCGCACCATTTATAGCTAAAGTTTTCTAAACCCATGCACGCTCTTCCTCTCTCTTCCTTATTTTTACCTTTTCTCAGCTCTGTCAATTGTCACAGTGTCGAAGTGTTCCGGTGTAACGTAGGTAGGGCTTAGACTATACAGGATTGACACGTTTCAAGATTTTATTGGCTCGTTGGTTGAAAAAGTCGGACATAGTCTTGTCTGACTATTGATGGTTTGTCAAAGTCTCTATAGTGATTGGCCGTTATGGCCTTTTTCTTGGCAGTGAATTTCAGCCGTTCGATGTTTGACGACTAGCGATATTTTATTGCTGAGTTGTTTTTTTGTTTCTTAAAAAAGAAAAAATCAAAACCCATTCAGGCCATTTCAATCCTATCTAAGCCCTACTCCAACCTCACGATCCACCCCATGCTAATTGACCTATAAGTTATCATTAGTTTTTTAACCACTAAAATTTGATATCTCATATTACTTGATGATTCAGAATTATTTTTAATTTACGTGTATTTTTTTATGAGAAAAAATACTATAATGAATTACGAATCATGATACGAATTCTCATACCAAACACACAAACGTAACACTTTAATTTGTGATGGGTTGAAATGGTCATCTCTTGCTCTTGGCTATAATACACTGAAAGTGCATCGCTCTTCATATAAAATGTCTACATTGTCAAGTTACTCCTTAAAACTTCTTACTTTTAGAAAAATACTCTTAAGTAATGTAGAGTTACTCATATTGGTGATGACTGTTAAAGTGTGAATGAATTCGCCCTCGCACGTATTAGAGCTCATTTGAAAATCTGGGTGTGCCTCTACTTAATTTTATGTGACCCCGCCATGAGAAATGAAAATGGTGACACAAAAAATTACACACATGGTACTGACGATGTGTTAAATATATCAAGAATTCTTTTATCTCTATTCTCATGAAAATCTTACGTTGTTTTAATTTATAAGGATTTACTTTGTAAATTTTCTTAAATGTATTGCTCGGGGCTTTATGTAGTCTATTATTTTTAAATTGTATTGCCATCTAAAATAGTCCCAAAATAAGCGTACATTTGGCACTAACACAACTATCTCATTAAAAGTTACTTTTCCTTCTAATTTTGAGACATTAAACGCATTGCAAAAAGAGCTTCTGTGCATCAGCAAAAGTTACCAAAATACTTGGTACAGTCCTTGAGCATAATTATTCTTTCTCTCTTTTTCCTTCAGGTGCATAAAAAAAAAAAAATAATAATAAAAAAAAAAAGGGAGAAGAGATACAAGAGGAAGAATTAAAGGGAATATACGTATAGGTAGCATGAATAATGAACTAAACCGAAAAAAGTTCTGCTTTAATTTTCCCAGCGCCAAATTCCTTTATAGCGTATGACAAGTTTAGGTGTTTACAATAAATAAGTAATTTTTGAGAAAGTCAAGCATCACGGCTTTTATTGTACATTATCCACCTGAGAACATGTGGCGCAACGCATAAAATCGCATAGATGAATAGTAGCGCACAGTAAATTTAAGTTTCATTATAAATACGTTTTATATTTTGGAGATGTACACTTTCATATCAATAGTAATTAAATATTTTATCTATCTTTTTATCTCTCTCAAATCTTTCGTCAGTTTTATATCTCTCAAATTTTATAACAGTAATGTTATTTTCCCTTTAAATTTAACAGTGGTGTATGGTCTCTTACTTATGAAATATGTCAACCTCGTGATAGAAAAACGTTTTCTCTCTTGTCTTTTTCTTCTTGTTTTTTTTTTTTTTTTCTTCTTTTGGAAATCTAAGAAACGTTGTCTCTTGTTATTCCTCGTGTATAAACAAGAGAGAAATGCTAGTATCATTCTTTTTATCACTTTTTTTGTCACTCGCTATTCGTTCAGTATTTGACACATGGATTCCACTAACATTATATATATAATATTATTAAAATAGAAAATAATATAGTGACATCCACATGTCAAATAGTGAATGGAGCGAGTAACATAAAAAATGATGCTAGCATTATACCCGAGTTCACTATGTATGCCTAAAATGACCATTCCACCCTTATAATTTGCCGTGCGTTTTAAATCATGTACTTTGTGTTTTTATAACGTTGATGTATAGAGACAGATTTTTTTTCCCCTTGCCAATATTTTGTTGACTATTTTGGCTAAAATTCAGGTGAAGAAAAAGTATTAATTAATTGGTTTTCCTTCGTTTCCTTCTTTTTTTTTTTTTGAATTATTGATTTGATAAATAGAGTATTGAAATTTGTTAGAACTTAGAATATACTTGTTATGGTGGATTTTTTCTATATAACGTACCAAAATGAAACACTTATCAATAATTAGACAATATGTACATATGATGAAATGTATGGAAAAGAAAGAGAAAAAGGAAAATCAGTATTGGTGATCTTATGCAATTGAACACTGAGTTCATACATAGCGCAATGAGTCTGATATCTCATCTCAAAATTGGAAAAGGAACTAAGATTGTTGGTACATTTACTTATTAGACTGGAAAATAGAAGTGCTAAATGAGATTCAAGTTCATATTTATTTAATATTATGAATAAACAACTTATTATGACTTCAAATTCTCGTTGAAAACTTCAGCTCTATTCGAATAATGTTAACTCCAACACATTTTTATTTCGATTAAACATGCTATAGTCTCGTTCATTTCATCAATTCGAGTTTAGAGTTCGAGTTTTGCTACAGTAAAAAGCTCTCAGAAACAGTCACATTTAACTTTTTTACTACAGTAAAAATCTCTCACATAAAGTCACATATCAACTCAAATTAACGACGAACTCATAGTCTACTGAGTTACATGAGTACGTGAGCCTGCCGAGCAATACCTCGCAAAACGTGTTAGAAAACAAATGCAGCCGTCCTTGCTTGTTTCTTTCACGATTTGTCCACTTTACTTAACACACCTAATATTTTTAATTCCCATTTATTTGTTTTCCTCCCTCGACAAACACTTACCAGCACCAACTTGCTGTCGTTTTTGCTCTTACAATTATTGATCCTTATAATTTCTTTAAAAAAAAAACAAAAAAAAAAAACTGAGATTTCTTTTTCTATATTTCGTTAATTCCTAATTAGTGTGTCTTACAAGCATTATTACTGGTTATAGTCCAAGGCTTTAATTCCAAGCTCCTCTAAGTAAGTGGTTATTAGTTGTCACTAAATGATTGGTTGTTGGGACTTCAATATCACAACTAAGTTTAGTTTCCCCATTATAAATGTGTTTGTAGGCACATGTTTTATTTTTTGGTATTTGTTGATGGAGATTTTTAGTTTTGGAATTGGACAATTTTAAAACAATCATTTGCCGCTTTGTTATGTAATCAATCTTGGATTATTTCCCAACTCAAGTGATTAGACATATATGCTTAGATAGCTCCATGTTTGTAATTATTTGCATATATATATATATATATATATATATGAGACTGCTAAGTGATAATGTTGTGGAATAAAACTAGTCCAATATTGCAGATACATACGACAATAACATCACCAAACACTTGTACGCCTTGGTTTACCGAGGACATTAACATTAATTTTCACATGCTTTTTTTTTTTTTTTGGGTGCATGCAGGGTACACAGCTCTTTGTCTGAAACCGAAGATACAGTGAAACGTCGCAAAAATCTATAGTCTATAAGCAACACAAAAGTACAAATACATTATCTCTCAATTGTTCATATATATATATATATATATACACGACTTTCTATTTTTGAAAATTAAAAAAAAAATCACTGCATTTACATTTAGGAATTAATCATTTATACAAATAAATATTTGGTTTACTTTTGGGAATTAAATCATCTATACATATAGGTAGATATATTTGGAGGCTATCATTAAAATGTAAAACTTCTAGGAAGTTTTTTTGTTTTAGTTGTGTCATAAACATTCCAAAATAATTTTATAACAAGCATTGAAATTAGTAACATAATTCAGATACTCCCATGAAAACTCAAATGTGAAATGACAATTTTTTAAGCTTTAAATTGAGAAATGTATTTTGAGATCCGATGGATAGTAGAAGAAAATGGGCATTTGGATTATCAATGAGAAAAAAAATATTAAATTTAAAAAAATAAAAATAAAAACAAGACAAAAAGAAGATGTGTAGCAACTTCTTGGACTTTGTCTAGTACTTTGCTACTTGTGAGCGGTGTCATGAAAACCATATATT